GTGCAGAATGATGTACATCCTCAACGTCATCACCTTCATGTTATTCATGTGTGTGTGTGCGTGTGCATGTGTGTGTATGTGTTTTTTCAGGTAATCACCTCTTTGTGAATACGAACCTGCCTGACCTGGCTGTGGGTCTCATCTTGCTGGCTCTCTCTCTGCTGGTCCTCTGTTCCTGCCTGGTCTGCATCGTAAAGTTGCTTAACTCCATGCTGAAGGGGCAAGTGGCTTCAGTCATCAAGAAAATCCTCAACACCGGTGAGCAACTTCGCACTCTGGATATCCAGTCAGCTGAATGGCACGAACAAGTGGGCAAAAAAGTGTTGAGACGTGCACGTGCATGTATGTGTACGTGTGCACAGATTTCCCGTTTCCGTTTGGCTGGGTGACGGGTTACATCGCCATCGTAGTCGGAGCTGGAATGACTTTCATTGTGCAGAGCAGTTCGGTGTTCACGTCAGCCATCACTCCTCTTGTTGGTGAGAACAATCAATGTGTAAAATAAGTGGACATAAGAAGCGGTATTTAAAAATGTGTTTGATTCTAATTAATTGAGAATTATTGGTGAAATAGGTATTGGTGTCATCAGCATAGAGAGGGCATATCCACTGTCTTTGGGCTCAAACATTGGCACCACCACCACAGCCATTCTGGCAGCCATGGCTAGTCCCGGAGATAGACTGGGGAATGCTCTACAGGTCAGTAAACCATCCACAAATTAACTGGTAATGGTCACTATGTGGGAATGTTTCTGACACGCCTTCATTTTATATATTTTTTACTTGCTTGGTGTAGCATTGAACACAACTGTTTCTTCTTTATCTAGAGACATAGTCACTTAAAAAAAATTTAGCTAGTACCATCTGACTGATATATAAATCTAATTGAATTAATATGACATTAATATGAAAAACATTTAAGTCAAATAAAAATGTGAAAAGGCAATGACAAAATAATAAATGTGTTGATTTTGTATGTTACAAAACTCTATAAAAACAGGCGTTGCACATTTGCTTCACACATACGAACTATTTTGAATTACTGCTTTAACAATCGATGGCTGTGTGAATTACCTCTTTCACAGAAATCACTGGATGTAAAGGATCGTTCCATCAGGCAGATATAGCCTGAATGTGCATAGAAAGAATGTAACTTTTTTTATTTGTAAGTAAAATAAATGAAATTCATAAAATGTTTCAATCATTTTGTCTAGATTGCCCTCGTCCACTTCCTGTTCAACATCTCTGGAATCATTTTGTGGTATCCAATTCCCTTCACTCGTTTCCCCATCCGGATGGCTAAAAGTCTTGGAAACATCACCGCCAGCTACCGCTGGTTTGCTGCAGTGTACATCATCCTCTGTTTCTTCGTCTTACCCCTCCTCGTATTCAGCCTGTCGCTGGCCGGGTGGCAGGTCCTTGTGGGCGTGGGTGTACCTTTAGTTGTCATGTTGATCGTCGTGGTAGTGATCAACGTGCTGCAGAAAAGGAAACCTGGATTTCTGCCTGCAGGATTGCGATCCTGGGACTTCCTCCCTCTCTGGGCCCACTCCCTGGATCCCTGGGATAAAGTGGTTGTAGCATTCACAGCCAAATGCTGCTGCTGCTGCAAATGCTGCCAAGGCTCAAATGATGATCAGGGACATGAAGACCAAGAATCTGTGGAGCAGAGCACAGAAATGCGCAAAGCAGCGTACGATAATCCAGCGATGGCTGTAGAGAAAGAAGTAGAGGATGAGATAAAAATAGAACTAGATATTATAAAAGTAGCAAAACTTTGAGATGTAGTATTTATTTTGTATGTGATTCCCTTTGTATGATTTGTAGAGGAACAGTGGTCATGGCACATGGACAAACAGAAATAAAAAATATTTATATACCTATAAGTGAAAAGTAATAAGAAAAACGATAAACACTGCGAAGTGTTGATGGTTGTGGTTCATCGAAGTAATGATTTCATTAGGATTCCACTTTTGTTTTGTTGGACAGATTGCAGATGCAATGCATCTAACATGTCTGACAGTATGCTACTCTGGTTATAACTTTTACCCGACTGATTTCACTTTTACGTTTTTGACGTTCGGTTGTATGAAAACACTGATGTGTCTTGCGAGACACAGATCTGATCAATGTCATTTTGCAAAATCAGAGGTTTTCTGGGCTGATGTCACAGAGAAGTCAGTGCCAAGGGGGATTTCTAACTTTTTTTTTGAAGAGGAAGAAACCTTTAGCTGTTCATGCAAATATTACATCAACTTATGCACCCTTGTCATTGATGCTGTACTTGATGTCTGTAATTCCTTTTCAAAAAGGTTCCATGCAAAACAGGTGCTATAAAAGCAAGAATAACTACAACAATAATTCCTGCATGCCCTTGCCCTTATTGTTTAAGGGGAAGAGGCTTTAGACATCCTTTTCTACACCTGGATGTGCACACTTAGCTAATCTTCTTTTATAATTGAGAGTAGCTACATAAACCTGACCTGTTTGTTAATATGCTATTAAATTGTGAAATTTCCAAAATGTGCCATGAGCTTTATCTACATGCAGGATGTGAAATGTGTTAAACTGCAAAAAGACGTGGAAAAGACTAAATAGAAGTGTAAAGTTGTTCACATATCTGTCAGTTTTTTGTATGTTTTTTTTTTACATACATTTATTTTACTGTGAATAGAGAATAGACAGAGATCAATTACACATCATTTTAAGGTATTGATAATTTAGCAATTGAAAAGATAGATTATTTTCTATTAACCCAACCTAACAATGCACAATTATTGTATTCAAAGAATATAGAAAGTTTGGATGACTTTACATCTAATTAAACGTTTTACATGTTTATTATTTAATTTAAAGCCATGTATTTTGAACATTGGTATTAAATATTGAGAAACACAAAATAACGCTATATAAATGATTGATCGGTGAAGTTCAGTAACTGTCTTGCTGAAACCACCAGTGTCATCATTAAAACATTTACTGAACAGCATGTGTTGTTGACCCTATATTTATTGCCCTCTTATCACAGTTATCTGCTGTTTTTTCCATGACAAAACAAAGTGGGTGTGGGCAATTAATACAGATAATTAACACTTCAACACATTCTGAGAAACAAACAAGCTCTGTGTCAATAAACCTTATCATCATCCTTACATCTGTCCAATTACTATTCCACCATTTGTGTGCTCTTTAAAGATGACAAGGCGGGTTTGTTTTAATATTCAGCCTCATTTGTCAAGTTTTTTCTTTTTTCTTTTTATCTTTTGTGTTTCTGGAACATAAGTGTCAGTATTGAGGAAAATCAAACTGTTGACCCGGCAAAGAGACATGTTCAAAGACTACCACTTACAGAATCAATATATCAGCGTTGATTGTGCACTGTGCATGACAAAACAACCACAACGGCACATGCTCATTGTAAAGAACTGACTCACACACTGCACAATGTGACACACGCTCGCTTATCTAAACTTTTTGTTAATATGTCAGCAAATTAGTGCTTAAAGTGCTTCCGAATGGCCAATTTTTATCTACAAATTTATCACAACACTGCCCCTTTCTAAGAAACATCACCTCCAAGAACAAAGGCTGAATACTTTAGTCGGAAGTAGGACAACATGCACAGTGGAAAGATGTTCTCTCACATCAGCCACTTTCAACAAATGTATTTGACATTCCAGTTTGAAAATGGACCTGAGAAAATACAACTGGGACATTTCCATTTGTGTTATTAAAATAGAATATTTTGCTGTGTAAGGCATGATTCAAAGATGTGGTTAGATTTATTCCAAAGTATTTTATTCATCTTTAAGGTAAAGGAAAACACTGTATGATTTTCACATTTGTTTACCAAATCTTGAAGGTGAGGCATAAGTTTGTGTTAACTCCCCTGAGTCAATAGAATCACCTGTCAAAGCAAGAACCGCTTCAAGTCTTTTACATGTGTTTTCACCAGCCTTGGTCAATTCCCAGCAAAGCTGCTTATTTTCAGTCAGACTGGACAGATAGCTGATATAAACATTATTTTTGTTATTCTTGTCACAGATTTGAAGCTGAATTTAGGTCTGGGTTTTATGCCTTTGTTTCAGCCATTCCATCAATGATTCTGTCTAATCAGAATCATCGCCATGCTACAAAACAAACATTTACTCAAACTCAAGTCTTTTTGCAACAGATTTTCTCCCAGTCTATCTCCCCATTCATTTTTTCTAACTTCTTTACATGAGACAAAGGAACTCATTCTCTTTGGATAACGCTGCTATCACCATGTCTCATGTGGCGTGACAAACACTGTCATCCAAACATGTTCAAAGGATCTCGGTTCATAACTGAACCTCACTGTAAAAGTTAGCTAGAATTGTGTCCTTGTCCTGTCTAGTGTGCTCTAACAAACAAAAGACCTTCACAGAACGCCTGCGTTCATTAGTTCACTTAGGGGATGGAAGGGGGTGAATATAAATGCAAGCCAGTTGCCAACATTCCCTGGTGCATGAAAGATATATTATATAAGATATAAGATATATATATTTTTTCATCCTGTCAACATTCACTTGCATTCAGAAGGTTCTAATAGTCATTATGCCAAGGTTTGGACTGAAAACGCTGCCATCTAATGGTGGATACAAGCCAACCACAAGGTATTTGAAGACAACTGCAGCTTTTGAATGGACTTTTCACGCAGTTGTCAACTTTAAATGTGATTTTAATGCATTATCTGTGTTCAGATGTGTATGTCATGTTCCTTTTAAATAGGTTCTTCATGCTGGTGTTTCAGTGGTAACTTTCCCTCGCCGCTCATTTCCAGCATTGACCAACAGCTGTTAAGAGCAAAGTCCCAAAAACAAAATTGTAGCCCAAGAGCTTAAAATGTGTGTGATGCATTAGCTAGTATTTGTTAATTACGACCCCAAGACCTGCATGTAAACACTGCTGTGAACTTGTGATCACAAGCAAGAATGAGGACAAAGTCTTTTTCACATCTCAATTAGGACAAGACAACAATTTGAAAAAGAAAACAAAATAATTTATTTTTCAAACCAAGAGGCAGTTTGTGGTTATTACAGACTGCAGATGTGTGTTTATACACCTATTGCACACAAACAAAATCAGCTTATTCCTACATCCACTACTCATTAGAACTGCTAATTAAGTAAAAGTTAAAGCATCATATACAAAAAAGAAAAAAAGAAAAAAAAACATTAACACAGAATACATTTCAAATCGTAGCACCATTCATTGAATAACTCTATAGGACAAAAGAATCATTTACACTTGGATGGGCTTCTACATAATTCACAGGCTTGTGTTTCCATGTGCCTTTTTCCAGCCTAAAGGGGAACCCTTAACAGGACCACATGCAGGACTGCTGCGGGTGTCCGTGCATGCAATGACAGGCAGCTTATAAATTCAGAAGACACTTCGGTCCTCTCCATTTTGTTCTTTTTTGTTCCCCCTGCTTCTTGTCTGGATTTAAAGGAGCATTTTTAATGTTATTGCTATCAGAAGGCACAAAAAAAATGCCCAAAAATAGATGAAAGAGGACCATTTAAGTTAGAAAGGGACGGGTCCATAGTAGGCGGTGTACGCAGCGACGATGCCTTCAGTGTCAGCCATGTCATCACAGGCAACATTCAGCTCACACACCTCTTGAAGGCTGTAAGAAATGGGAGAAAGACCGAGTCAGACACGTATAACATCAGTTGTTGATCCAACAGCAATTAGCTGAATCAACTGCAAATATTTCTGCAAACGTTAAGATGATAAGATAAGACTGATTATACCTTTCCAGCTGCAGGGGGCTGAGTCTGCCGTGGGCAGCTCTTCTTCTCCTGAGAAGAACAGAAGCCAGGTCTCTCTTCATAACCACATGGGACTCTGAGGAACGAAGGAGAAAACAACATATTAAACTGTTTTTTTTGTTTGTAAGTTCTAATATGGAGCTATATTTCTAAACCAGAGAAATTATTCTCAACTCAACAAAACCCCAACTGATTACCTTCGGCACTGGCTGACTCTGAGGAGGACGAAGAGGAGGAAGATGAAGAGGCAGCAGAGTCAGAGGCTGAGGAGTTTGATTCAGAGGAGGAAGACTCTGAGGATTCGGCGGAGGAGGACTCAGAAGACTCAGAGGACTCGGAGGAGGAGGAATCTGATGTTGAATCGGAGGCTGAGGAGTCGGAGGCAGAGTCGGAGGCAGAGGATGAAGCTGAATCAGACTCGGATGAGGAAGAGGATGATGAAGCGGCAGCATCCGCTGCGGGATCAGCGGCTGTGTCAGCAGCAGGATCCACGACGACCTCGGGTTCAACTGCTGAACAGGACAAAACAAAATGTCAAACCAATGTCAGGCATCTACACAC